GAGTGCGGAAGTGTAGATCGAGCGCCGCACACGAAGGAGTCGCGCTGCGTCTTTGCACTTGCAGCAGCAGCAGGGCATGATGATGGAGAGCGTCGGCGGAGAAAAGAGGGGATGTGCGGCAGGTTCCCCGGGGGTCACGGTCGAAGGAGCGAAATGACCGACCTCGTTGGTGGCGCACCTGTTCGCGCTAAGAATGGATGCGCGAGCAAGCGGGCGAGAATGCGTGCAAGTCTGCCGGATAGACTCGGACCAAGGGGACGGAGGGCGAGCGGGGACAGAGGAAGGGCGGGGACAGAGGAAGGGCGGGGACAGAGGAAGGGCGGGGACAGAGGAAGGGAGAGCGCGGAGCAGAGCACGGGCAAAGACCACTTCGAAAGAGCGCGGACGCAGACCGATGGCAGAGGAGGGCGGTCTGGAGATCGGGGCGGGATCTGGGGAGCGACGGTCGAGTGCGTGCCAAACGAGCTGCAGCCCGCGCCAGAAGTCGTCGTGAGCAGCGTTCGGGGCGCGGGAAGCGAGCAGGGGCCGGACGACGTGTGCGGGCGGCGGTCGTAGGCCCGTCACGGTTTCGGCGAGGGGCATGGTGGAGGTGGGTGGAGAAGAGGAGGTGCGTGTACAAGCGCCGCTACTAGAACGATTACAAAAGGGAATGTAAGCAGAGTAAGTGAAGGAGTAAGAGCGTATCAATAATTACTAGTGACCGCTTAACAAAGCTAATGCCATGCGCACGCGGCGCGCGCTATTGCTCCTTGGACCCGTCCCACCACCCTCTACCGCAGCTACCAGCACCATGAGCGACCGCAAACGAGCCTGGGAAGGCAACGGGGATTCGAGCGCGTCGAAGAAGTTGAAAAGGTGTGTCTCTTACGGCTCTTTGCCGCTCGCCGAGTCCTGACTGGAACGGTCTTGTTGCAGCGATACTGTGAGTGCCGTTCCTCCATTTCGTGAAGGTGAATATGCCTCTTACCATGCCTCGAACTTGCGCTATAACCCCCTTCTACCCGCTCAGACTGCATCCAATGGCCATTCTGCAGGCTCATCGGTATGTCTTCCTCCTTGTTGGTCTCGTGCGGAACTTGACGGCGGCCATGTTCGAAGCTGTCGGCAGACGCTCTCATCGCCCAGAAGAGGGCCGAGATTGCTGCTAAGATAGCAGCAATGAAGAAGTCGGCGTCGGCATCAAGCTCTGCACCAGCTACCGCCGCCCCTACCCCAATCCCCGCATCATCGAGAGTGGCATCCGCGTCTGCGTCAAATGCGGCGTCTCCATCTCCGCCCATTCCGGATGACATGGCGCGCCGTATTGCGGAAGCTAAGCGGCGCGTCGCCGAGGCGCAAAGCAAGCTAGCAGTGAAAGACAACCCGTACATGGTATGTTCACCCTCTTTATCAGACGCGCCTCCGCTCATGTGCGCAACTCGAAGTCCGCCCCACAAGCCGGCAAGAAGAAGACGCTGGCCCCAGAACCCGCTCAGCAAGGGGCGGGTCTGAAGATGGCAGCGCATCCGCTCCTGCTCGACACTACGCCCGCTGCCCCACAGTCCAAAAAGGACAAGTATAAGCCGATGCAGCCGAAGTTCGCGTCGATCAAGGTGCGTAGTTCTCACACATACTATGCATATATTAATCCATGCTTTTCAGGCGAATATCAGGAATGCACCGACGCCCCCTCCTGCTCCTACACCAACCGCGCCCAAGGAGTCTATATCGAACCCTTACGCTTCTGGCACGGTCACGCCTGCTGAGAGCGGCTTCGAGGGTGCTCCGAAAGAGCGCACGGGGAGACACTTCCGCTTCAACCCGAAGGGCAAATATGTGCAGATCGCGAACCAGGTCCGGCAGGAACAGCAACTCGAGCAGCTGAAGCAGCGCATCGCGGAGAGCGCCAAGAAGGCTGGTTTAGATACCGAGTTCGAGACGCTTGAGAAGAACATCAGGGTACGTCGCTCCCTTGATGTGGCTTGAGGTTTGCAGACACTGAACATCGCGATGTAGAGAGACGCGCCTCCTCTGACCGAGTGGTGGGATGCAGCCCTGTTGCCTCACAAGACGTATGACGACCTGGAGATGGGAATGTCCACGCTCAACATCCGTAATGCGGACTCGCCGATCACGCTGTATATTCAGCACCCCATTCCTATACCCGCCCCAGGTGACAAGAACGAGATCACTCTTAAGCCACTGAAGTTGACCAAGAAGGCAAGGGGTTACCTGAGTGTTCATCAGTGCCATACTGACTAGGCGCGCTGTATATAGGAGCAGAAGAAGGTCCGGAAGCAGCGGCGACAGGCCGAGCTGCAGGATAAGCGGGACCGGATTCGTATGGGTCTCATTCCACCGGACGCTCCCAAAGGTGCGCATGTACCCTGTATTGCCCCGCGAGATGACTAACGGAGCAACTACAGTCCGCTTGGCGAACCTGATGAAGGTTCTGACGTCGGATGCCGTGCAGGACCCTACGCGTGTGGAGGCACGCGTGAGGCGCGAAGTTGCGATGCGAAAGCACCAGCACGAGAAGATGAACACGGAACGCAAGCTCACGGACGAGCAGCGGCGCGAGAAGATCGAGACCAAGAAGGTCGAGGAAGAGAAGAAGGGCATATACGGCGCCGTCTTCAAGTACGTCTGCCATGTATCCGTCTGTGTGCACGAAGCTAACGGTTGTTGCACAGGGTCAAGACGCTCTCGGACCCGTCACATCGCTTCAAGGTGCGCAAGAATGCGGAGCAGATGAACCTCACGGGCGCGTGCATCTTCCACCCGACGTTCAGCATGGTCTACGTCGAGGGCGCGTCGAAGTTCATCCGGCAGTACAAGAAGCTCATGCTCCGGCGGATCGCGTGGACGGAAGCTGCGCGCGAACGCGGCGCGGAGGACGTCGAGATCGACGGCGCGGAAGATGGCGAGGGCGGCAGCGGGAAGGGCAAGGGGAAGGCTGCCGTGCCTGGGGAGCACGGACAGGCATCGCTCGAGGACAACCACTGCTGGTTGATCTGGGAGGGCCAGCTGCGAGACCGCGCGTTCAACAACTTCAAGCCTAAGAGCTGCCCGACGGATTCGGCGGCGAAGGAGGTGTTGGGGGAGAAGCTGTCGGGGTACTGGGATCAGGCGAAGAACTGGAAGCCGGAAGAGGAGGAGCTGTTCTGAGGTGGTGGATATGCGGTGTGGATTGGTCTTGTATGCAGCTTCGTGCATGTCCTGGGTTGTGACGGTATCTATAACAGAACGCTTTAATCTCATCGAGCTGCTCAGATCTCTACGGTGGAGGTTGCTGCCCAACTGTTGCAACAGTGGTATACAAAGGCGCGCAGGGACTCACACCGCTGTCGTGCGGACCGGTGGGCGCAAGATGTGCAATTAAGATGTATATAATCTACGCGTGGAGAACCCTTCGGAGGGTTAGTATGGATTGAATGGCACGCCATGTATACCGTTCACTCACAAATCATGACGCCGGGGAGTCCTCCCTCGCCTGCCTGAGCTGCTTCAGCCACTTCATATCCTCCCTGACCTTCTCCTGCCGTCCCCGCTGCCGCCGCTTGTTCAAATGCGACCAGTCGGCCCCAAGACCGACCTCCGACCCGTACAACTTCGTCTCCTCGGGTGCGGCTTCTTGCGGCTTCGCCTCCTTCAGCTGCCACCGCCAGAGCTGGACGTGCGAGGGGAGCGTCGACGCCTTCTTGCTCTTCTTGCCCATGTTCGCCTTGAGCGCCTCGAGCTCGGCCTCTGTGAGGGTCTGTTTTGTGTGCGCCTTTTCGACCTTGCCGGACTGCTCGAGGTCGGGGAGTATGACCCGCTTGAGATACCTATAGTGGGAGGCAGCGTTAGCGCGGGGCGTGCGTCTCTGTTTCGGCGACGTGCATACCTCATCGAAGGAATAACAGGCTCTGCTGAATCGGCCTCCGCCGTAAAAGGTGCCTCATGAGCTTGTTGCTCCTGGACGAGATTGTACAGCTCCTGGACGGTGAGTGGCTGCTTCTCCTTGATGAGCGACAGGACGACACTGCGCGCCTGGGGAGTTGGCCGCCTGTTTACGGCGTGCGCCAAAGTGCGAGGAAGAGCGTAACGCATGGTGACCAGCAGCAAGGAGACGGTGAGCAGAAAGACGAGGACGGCGAGCAGCGCGAGATGTGCGGCGTAGGCGCCGGCCACCAGACGAAAGCAGAGGGCGCGCCTTACGTAAGCCACGCTCTCCATGTTCTCTCTGCCATCTGCGCGGACGCTGCTGGCTGCGTGCCGGCCCTCGACCTGGTCGTCGCCGCTCAGGTCGACCCTCAGCTCGCCGTCTCCGGTCTTTGCGCGTGGTCGCCACCAGCTCGCGCCGCGGTCCGTCAAGTTCATCAAGCGACACAAGGGGGTGCTGCCCATCCCTATTGGCGGCTCGATCAAGGGCACGACGCTTGCGTTTGGGGAGTGGGGCATCCGGGTGAAGGGCAATGGCGCGCGGATAACGGCCAAGCAGCTGAAGTCGGCGGACGACGCGCTGAAGCGGAAGATCAAGACTATCAAGGGCGCGAAGGTATACATGCGCATATTCCCCGACATCCCCGTTTGCATAAAGGTGCGTGTATAGCGAACGTATGCAGGCTGAGTTATCTCCTGATGTGTCTACAGGGAAATGAGACGCGTATGGGTAAGGGAAAAGGCACGTTCGAGTTCTGGGCGACTCGGTGAGTGTCTTCTACCCGCAATTGCTGCTCGTCCTCACGCAAGTATAGTGTCGCGCCAGGGCGTGTGATCTTTGAGCTGGGCGGCGCCCCCATTCGTGAAGAGCTTGCCCGAGAAGGTATGGATTCACATGAAACCTCTTGGAACTTGGCTTACTGACTCTGTGGTTCGGGCAGCATTGCGCCTGGCGTGTGACAAGCTTCCTACGCTCATGGAGTTCATCGACGCGAAAGCACCCCCACGACTTGGAAACCTGCTCGTCACGCCCGAGCTCAGGTCCACCGTTGCGACTTCTACGCCGATGACTGCTCGGTAGTAGCCTCAGCATAGACTATACATACAGCACATAATGGAGTAATGCCTCGCTCGATCCTAGGCTGCTTGCTCCGCCAGAAACGTTACGGTCTGTCTTCGTGCACCATGGCAGATGATGCAGATGTGTCCGAACATTTTCATGGGTTTCGACGGATTATTCGTATGGAGTATGTGAGTCGATACATGTGTACTCGACAAGTGAGAGCCATGGATCGTCGATTTGTTGGAGCAAATGAGAGGTTGAAAGTCGCCGGATAGGCCCATCATCACTTCAGACAAGTATCTTGTGTGGTCAGACCCCTGGGTCGAAGCGGAATACAAGAACTGCACAAGCGACTGGCCTGAGACAACGCGCCAGGCCCGGCAGGGCCGTGGTACTTGAAGGAAGGTTCGCGGCGGACGCGACCTTCAGGCTTTCCCCAGACCACACCAACAACTTCCTCGATATCTTGCGTGTCTTTTGAATTGTCCTAGACTCGGTTTCTACGTCGACTCGTCTTTCGCTTGTCTCTGGGTATCCTAACAAGCGGACTCATGCTGCCGGCGGACGCCCGCGGGCGCTGGCAGCATACACTGGTAAGACTGGATCCTTGCTACTTCCATGATGCAGAGCTTATGGCGGTTATGCAGGTCATAATGATCGAGTTGAAGCTCTCTTGAGCTCGCTTTTCTCCGCAGGGGGGCCCACAGCGAACCACCGCCAATTTGACGAAGGTATGTCGCGCTGGGTGATTTGACGACTATGCAGGCGGCTGAGCCGCTGCAGTACGAAGCTGCTGCGAGGCAACTGGTGGAACTTAGAGCATCAAAGATAGCAGTCAGGCGAGGGGTGCTTTAGGATAAGTGTCACCGCATACCCGCACGCTGACGACGGTGCGGGTGGGCGATGATACTCGTCTGACCCCATAAAACTTCTGCGCGCTAATTTTCGGTGGCATCCTGAAACCGCCATGGATAGCTACTGGCACAGGCAGAGAATCACGGCCGGTAGTTTTTTCTTTGAACGAGAGGTTGATCTGCGCGCGAAAGCGGCTTCACTGACCCGGAAGCGAGGGCGGGATGCGCACTATGAATAACGTGCTGCTGCACCGTGGTGGCAGGAGATATGGCAGAATCATGTTTCCACTTCGGTCTCCCCAGGATGCCCATGGAAACATGATACTGGGGCTTATCCACCTTCAGAGTGAGTACCGTGCCCGTAGGGATGGAGGAAGCTGGCCGTGACTTGTACTGCTCCTTCGCGATCAAGCAAGCCGCGGTCCGCCGTCTTTCTCGTACAGTGCATTCAGAACGTCGTCCATTATCCTTCGGACGTCCTTGTCGACGTTCTACACCAGTCGCGGTTGGATGTTCCGCTCGATAAATTGGCCACATACCGTCTCTAGTAGGCACTGCGCCCTTGCTGTTAGCCACAGTACCCGTGCTGAGATGTGGCTCCCGCGCGCACGTCAGGGACGATGCCCATCGTTCCACCGAGATACAGTTCCGTATATGCATGGAGCCAAGGGGTTTCTGCACGTACGGATGCGCGAGAGTTCGGAGAAGTGTCGCCTGAGAAAGTCGCGGTCGGGAGGATAGACCACTGCGACCGTCCGTCTTCGAAGCCACACCACTCTGAAAGGCGTGCGCTTGGTCTTCGTGGATAAAGGACCTTCGCTGTGACGTCGTCCCAGGCAGGCAGAATACGCCGCCTAGCCCTACCCAATTGCAGACAATGGCCTCCAAGCGTTAGCTTACGGCCCGACCCCAGACGCCGCGTTTCCGCTGGCCCACTTCGCCTTTGACCTGCCCCATCTTTGTTCCAGGGCCTTCTCTCTGGCTGCCCCTCCACGAGGCAGTGGTTATCATGTGCCGGACGCAGAGAATCCGCAGTGCTAGCCTACGCGTACCTTGGATACGTTTGTTTGTTGCCCCAACATGGAAGGTAGAGGCTATTCAGCCTATCGGGAGCCTTCCTCGCGCTCGGCCCGTTTTTTCTGGACTCGCAGAACATCGATTCGCCGCTGCAAATTTAGCGCGCAACCGCCGGCATAAATATCTGGTCTCTGGCCTGCCTCTGCCCCCCCATCACCCCACCTCCCACCACGACCGCCTCCGTGCCCGCCCACTCTCATCATCCTCATCCCCAACAATCCCCAACCATGACGGACTTCACAAACGCCAGGGGTTCACATATGATCCTGGTCTCCGCACAAGGGACCCACGTCCCAGCGGCTCCAGGCCATGCCGTCCAAGCACCCCCTTTCACTGCGCCCAATGGCGCGAATCAGAACGCCGTCGCCGGCCCCGCGGCTGGGAATGGCGCGCACGCGACCCCCGAGAACCAGGAGAACGTGCCCCCGCGGCGCAACAGGCGGCGCCAGCGCGCCCAGCTCAGCGTTCGCGAGCTGCGCAGGAGGCGTGCCGCGATCAACGCGGACGCGCCGCGACAGCTGGAGGCGCGCTTCAGGCGCGTTCTGGGAGCCCTTAACGGGCAGCAGGTCCGAGACCTGCGAGAAGTTACCTTGGCCGAGGCCAATGGCGATTCCGCGGGCGCGCGCAGCGAATACATCGATATGAGGAACGGCAGGATTCCCGACGCCAGCGTCCTACAGGATCCGTACAGCCACCCTTCCTCGTGGACGATGTTCGACGAAGACGCGTAACGACGCCCACGGTGAGCGACATTCCTTCAGCATTGTCTATCTACGATGCTGACCACACTCTAGTTACAGGCACGGGCCGCGGCCTCTCCCGTTGTAGCATACATCTACTGACATTATTCTTTACATTATTTCTCACACCCATCCCCATACCCTTTCATGTATACCTGTCTTACGTACGCCGCTGTACTCTTGCTCTACCACGCTCTTCACTGCCTGTCATCTGCCATATGTTATCGTTGTACATTGCAAATCATTAGCTTTGCTCTCCTTCTCGTGGTTGCTATGTCTGAACCAAGCGGCGACGTTCGATATGCAGCTCTATGCGCTGCAGTGCGCTATCCCTGGAGGCTAGGTGGACTGATCATGTAGGCGTGGGGGTTTGGGCCTAACGAACAACGCGTAAGAGCGATGCCGCCCTGATATAGTCTCTGCGACGCCGATGGAGTCTTAGCCACAGCGCGAGTTCAATCATCTGTGGTTCAATATTCACCGAGAGTAACACTATGTGTTCTTGTTATATTCAGCTCAACTATCCGCCTATGTAGCACTTACTGTGCGATCATCACTGACCAATGCTGTTGGCTGATTTTCGCTCTTTCTCTTGACTTCCAAAGCAAATATGGCTCAGAGAGGGAAAACTGTGATATCATATCCTACGTGGATTCATTTTCTTCTGCAATTTATAGGTCATCAAATGATGGATTGTGGACATGCGTGATGGGAACGTAATGCGCGCTTGGATGAAATATAGAAAGCGCTCGTTGGGAAACCTGGCGTTCAGTATGTGGCTGTGCCTAATTGTACATGTTAGGATCCAAAGCTCTTGCCTTTTCGGACATTCCCCTGTTAACCACCACCAACTGCGCCCGCCACCCCCACCGGCACGGAAACATCATTCACGATGCAAAACAGCATGCACATATCGGCAGCGGGGCTGCCGTACAAATTTATGACGCAGAGCGTATTCTCAGTCTTCTATCGAAGACGAAGAAAAGCAGGATAACAAATGGGTCATGGACTGTCTGTCGTGTGCGCATGTCAAGCTATCATCGTTCAAGCAGGCAAGGCATAAACTGTGCGTATTGATACAAGCTGAATTACGCCTGGGTGTGGGCTAGTACAACAAAACAAGGCAACGGAACCCAAAGCTCGTGGTCATGAAGTAGTATAGTAGGGCCGGGTTATCACATCGCCCCCTCGCTGCGCGAGATGATCCACCTGTGATACAAGGCACACATATGAGCCGATGAACAACCAGACATCGTATGTTACTCACCAGGCGTGGATCACCCCAGGGATCCAGCCGAGGATCCAGAGCAGGATGTTAATCCAAAAATCTAGATAAAGACGCTCGTCAGTACAAGCACAAAAATGACGCAGCAGACCACGTACCAGCAGCGAGTCCTCGCTCTACAATTAACAATCAGCATGCACTCTCCCTCTCTATATCCTATCGACCCGAGATCGAGCACTCACTGAAGAACACCGCAGCAGGCGGGATGAATCTGCCCCCAATGACGTCAGAACCGCCCTCCCACAACGTGCCCGGGCGCTACTCACATCGCGAGGAAGTAGAGCACCACATCGTGCGTCGGAGACACCTTCGTTGCCATCTTCGATCTTTCAACAAGGAAATAGGTGTGGGTAGGCTTGGCAGACGGGAGGCGGGCGTGCGGAGGCGGCGTGGACGAGGTCGTGAGGGTAGGGGTCAGAGGTGTGTGGAGCCACCCGCACAGGGGCGCGGGTGTATATATTCGTCTCGGACCTGGGAGCCGCTCGTATTACGCTCGCACCAGTACGTATCGCGCCGCAGCAGGTGCGCGCGGATCCACCGTGCCCTACCGTGCCACGCAGGCTATCCGTCCAGGAGCTGTGCCGGAGGGGTGCTGGGGAGGCTCGGAGGAGAGTCTAGGGGCATACGTCATGGCTGCGGCTGACATAGCGCTCACAGCCTGCCGGACGTACCTGATACTGGAAAGGCGCGATATTCGCCGTCTTCAGGGACGACAGACTGAGATGCACAGGAACATGAACAGGATCATGCACATGTAGCACGGCCGGGTGTATATGTGAGGGGAAAAGAATCGCAATGGCATAGACGTAGCTACAGGAAATTAGAGAACATCGTAAAAAAGGAATATGGCATATATGGACTCGCAGCCATAAATATCGCGTGAGTATGTACAAGGCATCACTACAGTCGATCGTAAGGAAGAGCTATACGTAGCTAGGGAGGGAGAGCAAACAGCGAGCAAAGAGAGAGAGGCAGGGAAGGGAAGGAAAGGGGAACGTCCGTGGGGGTCAGCTATGCCTACAGCGGTGGGTAGCATCTATGGGAGAGCGGTGTATAAATACATAACGTTATGGGTATCAAGCGATACATCCAACTAAACGGAGGGTAGAGGAGACCGGGAGGAAGACGGCAAAAAATGAGAGAAACACCGAGACCGGGAGAGGAAGAGAGTGATACTGGGACTGAGAGAGACGGGAACGGAGAGGGAAGATGATAGAGTAAAAAGCACGGAGCACGGAGCATCGAGAACTCACAACACGGAACACGGGCAGACCAAGCGCGACTCGGAGAATAAAGACACGGACAGGAGAGGAAGAGGGAAAAGGTCATGGCTGCACAGCAGCGTGGCGTCGTAACGCAATATCCGGCACTCACCACCGGAGCCCGCCTCCCAGAGGGACGGCGGGCAGGCGTTTGATTTTTCGGTTTTGTTTTGTTGCGGCGGTGGGTGATCACGCGCCAAGGAGGGACGGAGAGAAGGAGGGAGCGGGAGCGGCGCTCACCGCCTCCACGCGCTGCGCCCGCCTACAGGCGTCGCCGCCGTCTCGCGCGCCTTGGACGCCGTGACATACATCGCCATCACGTCCTCGATGCCCGTCCGGCTGCTGCCCGCGACGGCCCTGTCCAGCGTGCTCGACGCGATCTCGTGCATCTGCTCGAAGGGGTCGTCGCCGCCCTGCGGCTTCCACATCCCAGACGGCTCAGCGCTCGGACCTGCGCCAAAGCCCGACGGCCCTGCAGGAGGGGCGCCCCAGCGCGCGTACGCCGGCTCCGGGGCGACCGCGCGCGCAGGAGTGGGTTGCGCGGCGCGTCCGCGGGCGGCGGGGGCGGGAGAGGCGGTGCGCGCCGGCTGGGAGGACTCTCCGAAGAGCGCCCAGGGCGACGCACCCGCGAGCGACTTGTACATCGAGCCGAAGCCGAAGCCCTCTGCACCTGGGGTCTCCTCGTCGTCCTCATCTTCGTCTTCTTCCTCATCTTCATCTTGCTCGCGCCGGACGTTCAGGATGCTGTCGTCATCCGCTGGAGACCCGGCATACCACTTCATGTATTCTTGTCCGCCCTGCTCTTGGACGGGCGGCGAGGGGGGCTCGGGGGACTCTGGGGACTGGGGCACCGGTTCGGGATCAGGGCCTTGCGAGACCTGGGCGAGGCGGGAGGGCCGCGTGGGCGCGAACGGGTTCTTGCTGTTGCTCCCGCCACGCGCCATCGGCGGAGCCCAGATGTCCTGGTCAGCAGCAGCTGCCTTCGCATCTGCAGCACTTGACGAGGTGCCGGATGACTTCGCCTTCTGCGCCTCCCATGGCGAGAGCTTGTTGGGTGGCGGGATGGGGATCGGCGAGCTGCGCCCGGTCGTGGAGGATGTGGGCGAGAGCTTCGTGTTGATGGGAGCGGGCGAAGCTGCACGCGCAGGGGCGGTCCTCGCCGAGTTCCAGGCTGCGATAGTTGGGGCAGCCTTGCCCTTCGTCTCCGCGGCCTTGCCTTTCGCCTCCGCAGCTGGCGCGGCTTTCTGTGTGGGCGTCGCAGCTCGTGCAGCGGGCGTCGGTGCTGCAGGCGTCGGCGTGGAACGGCCGTTGGCGGCGGGCTTCACCGCAACGCCCTTGCCCTTCTTCTTGCCCTTGCCCTTGATAGGGATCTCGATGACCTCGTCGACGACCTCTTCCTCGGGCTCCCGTTCCGGCTCGGGCTCCGCGTCGGGCACGTACTCCAGCAGCGGCTTGAGCTCGGGCGACGGCTGCCTCACGGGCTGCGGGCGTTCCTCCGGGAACGCCCCCGGAACCTGCGCGGGGCGGGCGGGTGCGGGCTGCACGGTGGGCGCACTATCGCCACCCGGGCCTCCGGTTCCCCATCCGCGCTTCTTCCGCTCGTCGTCGAGGAGCTGATTGCGGCGGGTGACGATGTCGCGTGCGCTCTGCTCCATCGCGACCTGGTGCGCACGGATCGTGAACTCGCGGTCGGCCGCGGGCATGGGCTTCCGCAGCTGCCGGGCGAGCTCCGCGTCCGCGTCCGCGGCCTTCAGGTGGAACTGGCGGATGGAGTTCAGGTTCAGCTTGTCCAGTATGCTGATGTAGTCAGCGTTCGCGGCCAGCACGGGATCGAGAGGGGGCTGGGTAAGTGCGATAGGCACGGCGTAGACAAGGAGGTCTGCTGATGTCGCGAGTGCACCGACAGTGGGCGCCGGCTTCACCGGGGGGTGTGCGGCGCGCGAGGAGGACGCGGATGCGGAGGCCGCCACGGGAATGGGGGCGGGAGAGGGCTTGGACTGCGTGCGAGTATCCTCGATGATCGGGGAAGTCTTTCCACCCCATGTGTGGGACGGTTTCTGTCGATAAGCCACCTGAGTCAGTATCGGTGTACCTGTATGTGTGATACACTTACCACGGGCTCATCTTCCGCGAACATTGCGTGTCGGGAGGCCACCGATTGGGTGTTGCGCAATGGCTGACTCGCGTGAGTCTTTTGGGGGGCAGCTGACTGCGGGTATGCGGAGGAGCTGGTCTTCCAACCGCCCAACGACCGCGGGGCAGTGGGCGGCGTCGTGTCTACGGCCGCAGAGCTCCCAGAGCTGCTCGTGGTCGCGACGGACTCGCGACGGACCTGGGCGTACACGCCCGGCTCCTGGTCGACGTCCTCATACGAGAGCACCTGTTCGACGGCGATCATCTCCTGTAGCGACATATCGGTCCAGTCCTCCGCTTGGAGACCGGCACGGAGCAATCGCGCATCCCACTCGTCGCGAGCGGCGTACGCAAAGTCCCGCTGCATGCCGTTGACGATCTTGTCCATGCCGCTCGGCGCCCCGTTGGTCTTGCCCTTGGCCCGGCTCGTGCGTTCCGCGGTCTTGAAGAGCTCGTCGAGTTCCCTCTCTATCTGACTCTGGCGCACAGAGACCCAGGTAGCCTCGAACTCGCGCCATTCAGCACGCACCCGGTCCGACCGAGTGAAAGTGTGCTTCTGAGCCGGTCCTGGTTTGGCAGCTGGTGCCGATATGTGAGCGGCTGCGGGTGCATTTCGGAGGTGAGAGGCGAGGGCTGATCTCGCAGGCTGGGCTGAGGGTTTAGGGGGTTGAGCAAGGCTTCGGGGCGGCGGAGCGACAGGGTTCGTCTGGATAGTGACGCCGGGCCGCGATGGCCCAGCGTTGGGTGGCGGCGATACCCTCTGCATGTTAGGAGCTGCGGGGCCTGCTGAGGGTGTCTGCGCGATCTTCGTGGGGGCTGGGGGGACTGAGGGCGTTGTTGCAGGAGGTTTGGAGGTCGTCGCGACAGGTTTGGGCTGGGCAGAGGGCTTGGAGGCGCCGCCGGTCTTCCTCTTGGGGCTCATGTTGGTGGGTAGGAGAGCGAAGGTGGCCTGCAAGGTCGTTTACCGAGTTCAGCAGATAGGAAAGCAGCGATTTCTGTGGACAACATAGACAATGAGAGGAAAGATGGAGAGACGAGGAGAGCTCGCTCTGACTCAAAATCCTCCGCTTATGGGAAATCGGCAGATGCCGATCTAGCGACTGATGCTCGAAGCGGCAACCCATCGCTTCCACCAGCCTACCAACAGCGTTTGACCTTCACGTGTAGTTGGGCCTGCGCGATCCCATTGTCCAGCCCGACGAAGCAGCGACGTGCAAGCCCCCAGCTCAAGAGAGTCGTTGGAGAGGAGCGATCAAGGCGCGATCTTGCCCATACCGCCGTGGACAACCCAGAAGCGGTCGAGGCAGCTAGGTCTATATTCGTCCCACAGCAGGCAAGAACAATTGGACGCACCATGCACCTGTGGCCATCGTGTTCCACACAGGACCAAGTCCGCAGTGGAGGTCGCCTCTACTGCGCTGCTTACCTTCGTTCTGGTCGTAGATGAGATCGTAACGAATACAGCCCTTAAGATACTGGTTTCTTGCGCTGTGCTCTAAACGACGCAATGATAGGGTTTGTTGTTCGTGTCCCCCTACCGCGTGTTTGCGAAACGGCGATAAAGCTGACCTTGTCTCCGACCTATTGGTCATCTAAGAGTGCTTGCTGATAAATAGAGCTAAGCCCTGGAGCTGTTCACAACCACCAAACGGACGAGAAAGCTTGGCGAACGAAGAAACCAGACATTCGCAAAGAGTTGCCCAAGATCAGCGGCGAAGGCCATTCGTAAGTAAATTCAGAGTCTTTCCCAAGTGACTATTTTGACGGAGTCCATAGCGCGGTAGAGTGATCAAGCAGGGCATCGAAGACGACGCGCTCGTGTCGCGACCTGTAAGTGTACGCGAGTCCCACGACTCCCCGAATCCCGCAAGTACTCTGGACCGGGCTTGATTGCTCGGCGTACTCGCTGGATGGTGGGGGGTGGTAGAACTCTGCCCCCACCAGGCGCCCGAGGCCCGAACCTTCGGGCGCCGTACGCTTACGTACGATACATGAATGGCGGTATCTAATCTACGGGCGCCTAGATGCGCTGGTTCTCCGCGATTCCCGGAGAACACCTTCTCCTACTGAAGTGGACGTTCCCGTCCAGGCACTAGGGAGTGCCGGTAGTAAGTAAGAACCGTCGGGTTCTTACACTCTCCCTCCCTAGACCCGTGCCGGGTCTCCAAATAATAATACAATGGAGTAAGGGTCACAACTTGGAGTGACGGTGGCACAGTATTTACATT